AGCAGAGAGCCCGATGTGGGACTCGATCCCAGGACCCCGGGATCATGACCTGAGCCGAAGGCAGACGCTTAACCATCTGAGCCACCCAGGCACCCGACATTTTGTATTCTATCAAAAAAAAAAAAATGCTGGATGGGATTGACTGAAATGATTTCATGATCCACTAATGTATAGTACTCAATATTTTGAAGAACATTAATTTAAGTCATTAGGACACCAAATTGCAAATGATATTTTCATGGCTATTAGAAGTATCTGAGAAGCACAAATCATTCCCAAATTGTATAACCATTTCCAGTTTGTAAATTATTCTTTTGACTAGGTCTGTATTACAGCCATGTACATGTAATTTTATATTACATTTAGTTTCTGGTGTACTTAATGCTGATTTCTATTTCCCCCACCCTTTACAGTGACAAAAATGTGGATATTAATAAAGAACAACTGACTGGTTGTCTTCTGAGAAAATTAGGTGAGGCATATATTTTAAATAGTTTTTTAAATTGTAAGAAGCAAGGTAGCAGTAAATAAAGTAATGTGTCTTTGAGGTCTTGTATAGATCATAATTTTCTTCAACATAATATGGAGAGTGGTCTTCTCAATGAATTAATGTTCTTTTGGGATAGGAATTTTTTTTTCCCTAATTAATTGGCAGTTGAGCATTGGAGAGAATATATGACTTATCTGTGGACAAAGTCAGTGGGAGAACTGAGACTTTTAACCCTTGAGCTCTTCTCCAGTGAGAAATGTTACCTTGGAGTACTAGTTAGGTGTGCCATTTTAGGTTCGTTTATTATTGGATGTGGAATGTCAAGTTATTTGTTGATACAGTTGATAGAATCCTAGATGTATTGAGTGTGGAGAATTGTAAAGAATTATCTTATCCTTCTATCTCCAGATAGTGCTCTATCAAATGGGAATTGTTTCTTTTATGGCAATTATTTTATTAATACTCTTATCTTTGATTTAGTCTTTTCAGTCAGATGGTTCTGTTAATAGATGGAATAAATTGCTGTTTAAACATGAAATGGGTGAAAAGTTATGCTAACACATATATTTAAAAATTATTTTCTAGATGGCAAGATTGTTTTACCAGGCAACTTTCTGTATTGTACATTCTACGGACGACCATGCAAATTGCAAGTGTTGGAAGTGAAAGGGACAGATGGCAAGATATTGAGAAGGCCTCAGAATGACTCTGACATTGATGCCAAGGGAATGGCCTATGAACAGTCAAGCATAGAAACCAGTACCCTGGATGTATCCCTACAACTAAGCCAGTTAGATCTGGAAGAGCCTCGGGACCCAACATCAAGCAGTACTCCTTGCAAACCAGTAGATGACAGAATGATAAATAAAGCTAGTGACATTTTGTCGGATGTTACAGAGAGTCCTGGGGACAGCAGCGGACTTGGACTAGGGGAAGTCACAGGACTTAAATGTGGTTTTGAGTCAGCCAGAGGAAGAAATGAGCAACTTGTCAATGAAGAGAGATTGCTAAAGTCAGCATGTGTGGGAACAAAGTGTAACACTGATATTTTTTATTTTATTTCTTCAACAACAAGAGTCAATTTTACAAACATTTGTACAAATTCAAAAGAGCAAGACAACCGATTCAAAGTAACTTATGACATGATAGGAGGCTTAAGTAGTCAGCTGAAAGCAATTAGAGAGATTATTGAATTGCCTCTCAAACAGCCTGAACTTTTCAAGAGTTATGGTATGATTTCTTCACTGTATTGCACTAAAAGTATTAAATTCAAATTAAAAAACAGTTGGCTCATTCCACTTATATAATAATTGCTCATCCTCTTTTCTTGTTTTTCTTTCCTGAGTGGTAGGTATGGTAGGAGGTGTGAGTTGGTTTGGGAGATGCCAGTTAAGTGAGCCTTTTTCCATGCTTGATCTTTTTAGGTTGTAATGTGAGGTAGTTGCAGCCTTCCACAGTTGTTTGTATTGGAACTAGAATTAGTATCTTGTCATTCTAGATCAGCTGTAATGACCAAAGAAGTAAACCAAACATTCGAATATGTTAGATAAAACTTCTTTGTTAGGAAATATAATTGTGTGCAGTCTCTTTGCATTGAAGCAAGTGGTTAAGGGAGTGATTGGCTCCTAGGAAACTCAGGGCTTCCTCTGTGTAGTAACTGCCCAGATCCTCTGTATTTGGTGCCTACCATCTCTTTCTCTGCCTTTTCATTTTTCACGAATCTTTATATATATAAAGATTATATATATAAAATATATGAACCCTTTGACATTTTGCTAGTAATGCTTATATAGTCTAAGATGGCTAGTTGGATGAAAATTAGGATTTATGGCTTGCTCTGGGTGCCCTTGTTCTTGTCTGAGCTTTGTGTTCTGATCAATGAGCTGTGCTGTGTGGGATGGGGCATGGCAGTTGTGTGGCTGGTGTCCAGCCAGTTTTTTACCAGTGTGCCTGGCCTGTCTATAGAGAGAGAGAAAGTCATTGCTGGAGATCAGTGTTTGGGCCAGTTAGTACATTATGGGGGGAGGGGGCAGGGGCAGAAGGTCTGACTCTTACTTTAGTTTCGTGATACAAGGTAAATTTATATTTTATAACTCATATTTGCAGTCATATGACAACACAAGAAACCTAATAATGCTGAATCCATTTTTCTCTTCTTTTTCTTCTAGGAATTCCCCCACCTAGAGGAGTGTTACTCTATGGACCTCCAGGTACCGGAAAGACAATGATTGCCAGGGCAGTTGCTAATGAAGTTGGAGCCTATGTTTCTGTAATTAATGGTCCTGATATTATAAGCAAGTAGGTGCATAATTTAATAGAATAAACAGTGTTATTAAATACTTGTTAAAAGTGATTTTTAAAAATGACTGCATAGCATTCTGTCTGGATATTTCATATGTTGAAATACTTCAAATTTGCTTTTAATTGTGTATACAAATTAAGTTTGGAAAATAATTTTTGAAAGTAATTTTAAGTATTCTGGAAGTATTTGAAAAGTTAGATGAGCTTTTATAGACAAAACTTTAAAAACACTTAAGAGTTGATCCTTAAATGTATTTTATTTGTTACAGATTCTATGGGGAGACAGAAGCAAGGTTACGGCAGATATTTGCTGAAGCCACTCTACGGTATTTACATTTAGATGTTTGTAATTAGTAGTCAAGGCTATGTTAATCAAAGTAGAGTTACTAACACTTTATATGAAACATGAAAGAAAACCTCAAAAATAATACTGATAGCACTAGAAATGATTGTAAATCTAATGAAGTTGTATTTAATCTGTTTTTATCTAATATTGTTTTGGAAGTTTGATCAATGAGTTATTGAATTACATAAAGTAGGAGAACTAAGACAGTGTTGTATAAGTCATATGATTTTACTTGAGCATATAATTTATGATTTTCTTTCTTTAGAGTACCCATAGTACTTAGGCATATCCAGTTTGTATTATAGTAGCCCTTTATGCTTAAAACTTTTATTATGGTTTGCTTCAAAGGGACAAATCTTTTGCTCTTTAAAAACAATTTTTATTGATTATTCCTCAGTTTAGACTACCATATTACATTGCAGTGAATATAAGAGTGTGGCCTATAACTTGGTCTAATATATTCATAATAAGGCTGTGTCCCTACCATTGTTTTGGTATTTAACCTATCATAATTCAGCTCCCATCAAAAGAACTTTCATTTTTTTTAAAGATTTTATTTATTTATTTGAGATAGAGCGAGAGCGAGAGAGAGCGAGAGAACACGAGTGTAGGGGAAGGGGGAGGGGCAGAGGGAGAAGCAGGCTGTCCACTGAGCAGGGACCCCGACATGGGGATCGATCTCAAGACTCTGGGATCATGACCTGAGCTGAAGGCAGATGCTCAACTGACCAAGCCACCCAGGCACCCCCAAAGAACTTTCATTTTTAAAGTTTTTTTTTCCAGAGATAGCGGATGAAATAAGGTAGTCCCTTATAAAGTTGGTAGTTCCAATACTGAAAATTTGAGAACCAGTGGTATACTGTATTGTGTAGTGTGTTTTCATTTTGTTTTGTTCCTGGCAGTTGAAGCTTTCTATTGCGAGAGAATTCACATCTTTTTATGGGAGAACTGATCACCTTGAAAGTTTTTTTTAATAGGCCAAAAAAAAAAAGAGAGAGAGCACATTTGGAACTTCTGTACCTTGGACTTTACACCTGCTCCAGGGGACATCTCTGGTCTCAGATTCTGAATTGATGCAATCATAACAATTTACTGGGTATTAGCGGGCAAGGTCTGTTTGGGCATAGACTCATCTCATGAGCAGTAGACTATTCTTTTTTTTTTTTTTAAAGATTTTATTTATTTATTTGAGAGAGAGAGAGAGAGCACATGAGAGGGGGGGAGGGTCAGAGGGAGAAGCAGACTCCCC